GACAGTGCAGGAAGAAATGTAGACGCCGCCTTGGGTCGATACAAAAAATGTATGTGCTTGGAGCCTAGGAGGCATTCAGTAATGAAATCAATAGCTGTGCTTGGCTCCTAGCATTAAGATCATTGGTCTGGCTGTTATTTAGTCATCGTTGTCCTACAACCCGGGTGCAAGTTGGCTACCAGTGAAAAATCAATAAAGTGACACCACAGTCGGCATCCCAATTACTGGTGAGACTGGTGAGAGATCAATTCATGTGTTGGCCATTAACAGGTCCTTTTGGGAAATCATACTGCATTATTTGTGTTCGGTTCTGTCTCGTACAAGCGCTCTCCTTCCCTGTCTCGCTCTAAAACGGTGAATTATACAAATCAACAAGAGATTGTACAGCCAAAGACCTAGTTACCTTGTTTTGCTTTGCTTTGTGCAACCCTGACATCAGTGATCTCGCAATAGCATTTAGGCTATTATTAGGTTTTTAGAATTGTGTGCTATGACCTACAAGCCATGTATAATGCAAAATGTCACTTAGGAAGAAAGACATTAAATTACGGTGATTTAATTTGAAATAAAAAAGAAAATGTTCCAATTCTAAATTGTGATTGGATGAGCCACGTTCAAAGTATAGCAAAAAGTAATGAATACTGTTTCCTGAACCCTCACCCTTCTACCATTATTTGGACAAACAGATAGTCGGCTGTATAGTATTAAAAATTGTAAGTCTACCATAAAAAATGTGTATATAAGCATATAATAAGATTTTTGGTTGCCTCTTAAAAAAAAAAATATGTTAAGATATCTGTTATTTTTTCATTTATTTTTTATATGAACTACCATTGAAAAGTTTGGGTAATTTATTCTTGAGATGTAAAGCTGAATTTTCAGCATCATTACTCCAAGTCTTCAGTGTCACATGATCCTTCAGAAATCATTCTAATATGCTGATTTGCTGCCTAAAGCTGCAGTCCGTAACTTTTTTGGGTCATAAATTATCCAAAATAAATTTTTGAGCAAGTACATAACCAGCCAGTGTTCAAAACTATCTGCTTGCCTTAGCTCGATTCAAAGCGGTAAGCTTGTAGTAATGTTTTTAATTCCAATGGTACCGGTTGGATTTCCGCCGGAGATTCGAGCATGTCTTTGCGTCATTACGTCACATCTGTACACATAAAGAAGGAGTCTCGGCTAGTAGGCTATATTGAGTCATTACGTCACATCTGTACACATAAAGGAGGAGTCTCGGCTAGTAGGCTATATTGAGTCATTACATCACATCTGTACACTTAAAGAAGGAGTCTCGGCTAGTAGGCTATATTGCGTCATTACGTCACATCTGTACACATAAAGAAGAGTCTCGGCTAGTAGGCTATATTGAGTCATTATGTCACATCTGTACACATAAAGGAGGAGTCTCGGCTAGTAGGCTATATTGAGTCATTACATCACATCTGTACACTTAAAGAAGGAGTCTCGGCTAGTAGGCTATATTGCGTCATTACGTCACATCTGTACACATAAAGAAGAGTCTCGGCTAGTAGGCTATATTGAGTCATTATGTCACATCTGTACACATAAAGGAGGAGTCTCGGCTAGTAGGCTATATTGAGTCATTACGTCATATCTGTACACATAAAGAAGGAGTCTCGGCTAGTAGGCTATATTGAGTCATTACGTCACATCTGTACACATAAAGAAGGAGTCTCGGCTAGTAGGCTATATTGAGTCATTACGTCACATCTGTACACATAAAGAAGAGTCTCGGCTAGTAGACTATATTGAGTCATTACGTCACATCTGTACACATAAAGAAGAGTCTCGGCTAGTAGGCTATATTGAGTCATTACGTCACATCTGTACACATAAAGAAGGAGTCTCGGCTAGTAGGCTAGATTGCGAGTGAGGATGTTGGAGGTGGAGATTTATAGCCTTTTATCACAGCACTTGATATAATTAAACATCAATTTGATGGCGGATTCAAACGACAATCACCAGTGACAACAGATTCACCCGTTGTAAAATGCAAAAGACTTTGGACTTGAGTTTGGAATAAGAGACTGCAACCGGACTCATGCGAAGACAAGGATACATATCTGAAGGGCATTAAATGTAGTCACGCAATGCCGACGTTGTTAACATTAACAATTTGAGAACAAAGTATAATTTGCACGGTTTGACGTGATATGATAATCGATCGTTAGATTTAATCAGCGTGATTTGCTGCAATGCTTTTTTTAGTTAGTTGGTCAGAAGAACAAAAGTGGATGTTACTTACTTGTTCAGATGACATTTTAGGGTGAAAATTTGTATGTTGGTCAGTGGTCATACTTCCAAAAAGTAGAATCTGTGATTCGGAATGCTAGTATCCACACCGGCGCGTGACTGACAGCTGCACACTCTCCTCAAACATTGTGTTCATCCGCGGTGTTCCGTGCCGAGGTACAACTCACGTAAAGTTGATAATTCCGCGAATAACTGCAATTGCAGATTTCGAACAGAGATGGCGACTAAGAGGAAAAACTGTGGACTGCAGCTTTAAAAACATTTTTTAAAGTGTTGAAAACTGTTTAAAATGTGAAACCGTGATTCATTATTTTTTTCCCAGGATTTTAAGATGATTAGAAAGTTCAAAAGGACACTTTTTATTTGAAAAAGAAATATTTTGTAACATAAATTTCTTTACTGTCAATTTTTATCAATTGAATGAATTCTTGCTTATATAAGTATATATATATATTTTTTTTAATAAATCTTACTGACCCCAAACTTTTGAACGACAGTGTATTAACTTTGCTATGCATAAAATGAGTTATATTAATGCCAAAGCAAATGAACGTCGCTTTGCCATTTACCAACTGTACTGCAAAAGTTTTAAAAGTGCATAATTGTTTTAAATGAAATTGATTACTTAAATGAAATGCATTTATTCTGAATTCCTGTTATGTACACCACTGAAAGATTACCCAATTCAATTGAAATTCATAAGTCTTGGCAAAAGTGTTGAAACACTAGGCAGCCGTGCAGCTTGCAGTGTTCAAAGTTGAATTTTGTATTAAATGTGAAACTACTTCCAAGTCTGAAGAAAAAGCAGTTAGCGTTCTTCAGGTGAGGTGCAAATCAAACACTAATGATATGTGTCTTACAGCATTACAATTCTGATGGTGAAGTTGTTGACACCTGACACAGACCACACTGTTAAATCTCTGACTGCGGCACGACATCTTTAAATCCCTTGTCCCTGCACGTTGATTGACATCTCTCATGTGTTCCTCTGGCAAAGTAGCACAGTCCCACATTTCTCCCTGGAATGGTAAACACGAGGTAAAGCATATTAGTTGGAGAAGCCGGCAAATGCGACGTGTCAGTAGGAGAATATCTCATCAGTCCACATTCTTTATCAACTAGTTCTCCGCGCCGCACTTTCTCGTGGAGCTCATCCATATGTAAAGACAAGAATATGTTCCAGCAGCGATAAGGATGTTTCTTGCACCTGCAATGCCTTACAAAAACACGAGCACAATGGCGACATGACGTGCAGCTGTTTAGCTTGACAGTGGTGTAATTGTAAGGAGGGAGAAGACGTCTTGCTCTTCACTCAGCTTGAGACAAGACTAACTTCTCGCTTCGAGATCCTCTGCTGAGGAAGATGACAGGAGCGGAGAATGACTAGATCTCTTTAGTGCCTACAATTACATGGCATGATTCCCTATGTGAGCAGTCAACAGAATAAGGCCTAATGAAGCGGATACCTTAAACGCATACCTTCAAGATAGCAATGGTTAAGTGCCAATGCACCATGCGGCGTTCAGCATGACTGAAAACACCTGAAAAAAAGGTCTTTGATATAGAAGTTGAAGAAAAACACCTATATTTGTTAAGCTGACAAGCTTTTTATGGAAGCTTGTTTCCGCCACTGCATAAAACAATTGAAAGATAATTGGGACTTTTAATTGCGCAATTCTGACTTCTTTCCCCCTCAGAATTGCGAGATATAAACTCGCAACTGGGAGAAAAAGTCAGAATTGCGAGATGTAAACTCACAACAGCAAGAAAAAAGTCAGAATCGTGAGATAAAAAGTAGCTTTTTAATTTTTTATTCTGTGGCGAAAACATGCCATACTACTTTTTATCCCAAGCAACTTAAAAAAAAAACACGACACTGTCATGACAACTTGTAATAATTCATACGAGATGGAAGTCATGGTATAACCGTTCAAACTTTTATGTTTTTTTTTTTTGTCCTGTTACAATGCCAAATTATGTTTAAAATTTGGGTTAGAGGTTGGGGTTTATGGTAATGTCAAGGCCCTACTTTTTTTTTTTTTACGAGTTTGTCATCTCGTACAAACTCTAATGAGACCGGGTTGGAACCTATAACACTTTACATTAATTTCTAGAAGTGTTTTGCGATATAAAGTGCTGAGTTATGACAGTATTAAGTTTGGATGTATGATACAGATCATAATGAAAATGTACATAGGCCTAACTTTTATGATTAGCCTACCTAAATGCTTGAAAACACTATTTAGAAAACATTGTGTAGATTGACTAGTGAAATAAATTGAAATAAAACGTTTCAAGACATGTTTACACCTGTGACCAATCTAAGTGTATAAAAGTGGTCAGAAAAGCATACGTTTTGATTACATGGGGAATAACACATCCTATTTTGTTCTAGTGAGTGACTATTCACACAATTTTACTGCCTTGGTAAAATATTCCGGATAAACTCTGGGGTGAAATCAACATATTTTGCAACCCCTCACTGTTGCATAACGTGACAAACAGGCTTAGGGAGTCACCATGAAAATGCAAGCATACTTGCCAACAGCAAAAAGAAAAGACAAAACACAAAAGAAACAGCAATTGTTGTGTTTGATTTTGCTGGAAGACCTTACTGTACAGATCAAAATAATCTAGGATTAGTCATTGATCCACAAAGCTCCAAAGAATTAAGCTGTTAACTTGACAAGAAAATCACGCTACATGGAATGCGCTAGCTGGCTCTGGTCCAAGTAGGATGTCCTATACGGAACTACTTGCACCATAACTGAGCAATTGATTCAAAGCGCTGTGACACTTGTCGTCATCCGCAAGAATCGTCAACCAGGTAAGCATGGAGCAACATTTCCCTTGTTGCCCCAATTGTGTTTGCTATTGCTGCATTTGATTGGAGAGGCGCGTGACCAGCTCCAAATAAACTCTTTAAGGTCTTACATGCAAGAGAATGGAAAGAAATCGAATACCCCCATTATTATACTAAACGAGGCGGCACAATGCATTATAGTTAAAACTCTATTACTTTCAGTGTAAACAGGTTGATTAAAATGGAGGCGACATTATTGTTGCAGCGTGAACGGCGCAACAGGGTGGATGGGGTGTAAAAAATAGATAGTGAGGAAAATGGTATGGAAATGTAATTTTACACAGTGTTTGTAAAGACAGGGCTTTGGAATAATTTTGTTTATTTGATAAGTAGCCAGTAGTGGTATTTCCTCAACTGTTTATTCAATAACAATAACGATGTCCAATTCGTGAATGAATAATTTTTTGTGTGAATCGAATCTTTTTAATGGACCGGATGAACCGGACTTGTTTACGAATAGAATCCATCCGAATGGGAATGAAGTTTACCAGAAATCTTCTGCAGAAATTAACAAATCATTATTGTATAGCTATGACAGACAGTTTTAAACATCCAAACAAAGTGGTTTAGTGTAATTGACTGTATATGTCATGCTTTAGTAGAACAAAGTAATAGGCTATATGCCGTAAAGGAACTGCAGACTTGTTTTATGAACCAGTTATTTGAAAAGAATTGTTCAAAAGAACCGTTTCACAGACATATTTTAGAGTTCCCATAAGTTCTCACATCTATTGGTCAAGAAATGACATGCTAGAAACTTTTATTAGGCTACTACACTGAATAAAAGCAGAAACATTTTCCTACCTGAACAAAATAGTAGGCCTATAATAAGATAGGTCTATGTGCATTTGCTTTTTTTTTTTACGATATCTTAATGTCTGTCATTGCCCTATACTTTGCTTTTGCTCTGTAATTTTCTTTATGTTGTCCTTTGAAGGAAATTTGGCAAAATGGCTGACCTGATAAACAGCGATGTGTTCCTGGCCTTCTCCACATATACTACTATTGTCATTCTCAAAATGATGCTCATGGCTCCTCTGACTGGATACTTCAGGATGACCAGAAAGGTGCAATTGGTTTAGAAAATTCAGTTTGATATAAATTGCAATAAAGAAATAAGTGACTTAAAAAGACTGATTCATTCTGCATTATGTTATAATTAACTTGAACGTTGGATCTAATGCAAGAATTATATAGTGTTGCTCTTCAGTAATAGGCTATAATTAATGTGTTTCTGTTCATCACACAGGCCTTTCAAAACTTTGAGGACACTGCGATGATCAAAAAAGATCCAGAGGAGAGAAAGAAGATGCTCCAGACCAATCCTGATGTAGAACGTGTCCGAAGGTAATAGAAAAGGACAGACCTATCCTCATTTAACCTGTTAATTGCATATATTCTCAGTGATTTTTGCTCTTTAATCACAGATGCCATCAGAATGATCTGGAGAACATCATTCCCTTTGTGGTGATCGGTCTCCTGTATGCACTGACGGGGCCGGATCTCTCCACGGCTCTGTTGCACTTCCGAGTGTTTGTAGGTTCACGTTTCATCCACACGGTGTCTTACGTGATGTCTCTGCCCCAGCCTAGCAGAGCTCTGTCCTGGATGGTGGGAATGATCACAACTTTCTCAATGGCCTACAGGGTTCTCACAACAGCACTCCATCTCTAAAGACGCCGGTGCTCTGCAGAACGGGAGAGCCTTGTTTTATATCTTTTATTGTCCCTGCTTTATTTTCTGATTCACTGTATGCAATTCATAATAAAAACTGTCAACAATTCATCTGTATTTTTGATGAATTTGCAGTTCCCAAAATACAGGTATTCATGTATATGCCTGTCTATAAAGGTGCTAATGTCACTGCTGAACTTCCAATTTTTGTTAACAGTCAACAAGTCATTGTCACAGTGACTCAGCATTCAACGGAGGGTTATCAATGCTGACAGTCTGTTTAGGATGCATTCCAAGTGCTAAAACATGCTTTTCTTCAATACTTGTGAAACCTTTTTTTATTTGAGGTTTTAACTTTATAATTTGTACCCCCGGTTTCACAGACAAGGCTTAAGCTAGTCCCAGACTAAAATGCTTTAGTGTTTGAGCTGTTTTAACTGAAAGCAACTTGCATCGGCACGTATTAAAATATGTCAGTGCCATTGTTTTGTCTCAAGATGCACACCAGTAATGTTTTTTTTTTCTTAGGCACGTTTCATATAAGCTACTTAAACTATAAGGCCTAAACCTGGCTTAATCTAAACCCTGACTGTGAAACCAGGCCGTAATATATATTAATATATAATTATAATTTGTTATGACTTGAAGGATTAAAGGATGACTTGTGTTTGACTTGAAGGATTTTTTATTGAACATTTTGCAACATATCTATCACAGTCTTATTTGGTCTACCCGAGGGCGCAAAGAACACTTTGAGAGACATCACAAAATCAGTATGATTACAGTTTGACATGCCAAACGATGCAGTGTGCAAGCTTTTTGCTGTTTCATAAGTTGTTTTGTTTCATATTTGTCTCCATGTTTAAAATGAGCTAAACATCGATAAAATAGACTATAATGTGGCACAACTTACCCCATCCAGTGTGGCAAGATACACTAATAGCCTACTGGTGCATGTTGTCACAAAAGAGCAATGTGTGTTCAGTCAACTGTATTTTTTTATTTGCACATATTTTGTTGGAGAAATTTTAATAACCTTAAGGTATGTAGCTACTTATAGAGTAAAAACAAACTCACCCATGAGAAATATTAATACAAATGAGATAACTAGCTGTTACTTGGCTTTGCTACCGTCATGCTCCATCGTTTGAGCTACAGCAACGTGCCTGTGGAGGTCTCCAAATTGCGCAAAAAAAGACAGTTGCATAAATATAACAGTTCGTCGTCTGAATGTGTAAGTTATTTGCATGCGAGGCTTGAAACTCCCACCAATCTGAAGTTAGTTCAGGAAGAGCTGTGAAACTGAGTGGAGTCAAAAAAGGTGAGAAACGCGTCAAAGCGCCAATATTTAGAATGCTTAGACTTCATTTTATCATCTTGCTTTTGTAGTTTTGTTTAGTCTTCTTGTCAGTACTTGTGTTTTATAAATTGCCTTTCCTTTGACATTCCAGAGAGACCGCCTTCGGTGTCCTAGTTTGCTCTATTTTGCTCTATTTTGTCCATTAAACTCGTACGTAAACAAACGACACATGCACGAAAATGCATGGTGTTACAATGTTAAACGTCTATAATATGAAAACCTTTCAATTGTGCTATATGAACAGTCGAGAAATGGGTATTTTGTTCTGTTCATGTAACTTAATTGCACTAAATTCAACTTATAAAGGACATAAACAACTCAATGTGCTGTTAAAGGAATATTTGCTTACGTTTCTATAACTTTTTGGTAGGATCTTTGTCCACATTCTGTGAATAAAACTCTGAATACTACATTTGAAGCTTGCTTTTATGATACTGACAATTTATGATTAAACTGGAACTTATGATTAAACTGGGAGCTGTTTTGGAACATGGTAGCTGGTTTTTTAACTAGTCAAAGCTGGTAGAAATTGGCCACATTTGTTAGTTAGGGCGATATAATAAATTTTCTATCAAAATAACTATTAATGCTTTTGTAGGAATTTTGCATATGAGTACCAGGCTTTATTTTTGCTTCATGTTTATGTTTGTATGTATGTTCACTTTTTTTTTTGCCCCATTTGTAAATTTTAATAAAGATGGCGAAAGTTGTGCACATGATTGACAGCGAGGTCTTCCTGGCCTTCTCCACATATGCAACCATAGTCATCCTCAAAATGATGGTTATGAGCTTCGTGACTTCATACTATCGTTTGACGAAACAGGTACACTACTACACTACTTACAGCTTATACAAACCGCGTTATATTTTCTTATGAAGTTTTGAACAGACTGTCAAACACTTAATTTTCACAGATTTAATGACTCCTCTTTTAGGTTTTTGCAAACATTGAGGACACCACCTTGGTGAAGACCACAGAAGACAGGAAGAAACTGGTCAGGTTTGATCCGGATGTGGAAAGAGTGCGAAGGTAAACTTATAAACCGTTTTATGACAAGATCAGTGGGTGAGCGATGAAGGTTCAACTGATGTTGTCTCTTTCTGATGCCTTTGTTCTTGAATCACAGATGCCATCAGAATGACCTGGAAAACATTGTTCCCTTTGTGGTGATCGGTCTTCTGTATTCACTCACTGGGCCGGATCTCTCCTCGGCTCTCTTGCACTTCCGGGTGTTTGTGGGGTCACGCTTCATCCACACAGTGACCTATGTTATGGCTCTGCCCCAGCCTAGCAGAGGTCTGTTCTTTGGTGTGGGGTTGCTCGCAACCATGTCTATGGCCTATAGGGTGCTCACCACCGCTCTTTTTCTTTAATGGATAGCACTCACTTCATTTAAAATCATTTAGTTTTAGTTTACATACTTTTTGCAGTTTTGTGTGAAAGAACACACAAAAGAACACTTTTTTTCTTTTTACGGAATTTTTAGTGTGTTTTCTATTGGTTTTCAGTACCACACCCCCTTTAATGCACTTTATAATGTAAATGCTAAAAAATATGCCTTTAAACTGCTGATAATCTTTAACTCCTGGCACATATTCGAGGATGAGTCTGAAGCTTTGACCTGGATTGCACATTGAACAGACATTTGTTTTTTTGTTACTTATTAATCATGAGCGGCAGACTTTGAGTAACAGCTTTAGATTCTGTCAGATAATTAGGCCTTTGTAAGTTTGTGCATGTCGTTTCACACCATTTGCAAAGAAAAGCACAGGAAAATATTCAATTAACATTTTATTATCAGCAGGTTTAAAGAAAGTTTGGCCAACAACAGCAAAAAGGTTTATTAATGGATAAAATACAAATAAAAATTGTTTCTGACAAATGGTTGTGATTAATCTTTTAAAGTTGCAAGTGTGCAAGAAACCAGTGCATGTGTTGTCCACTAGAGGGAGCTATTTGAAAGCCCAAGTAGTACTAATGTTTACATTCATGTTTGTCTAATGCACATGGAGCACCTCTTTATTTGTTTCTAATTCACCCTTGACGTACAAAACACTCATTCCTCTGCACTCTGTCTATTCTGCCACAACCGACAAACCGAACTGTTTTATACTGCCACACTGCTACACATAGCAGATGTTTGTTAAAAATAGCCCTGCTTAACAGAACGACGAATGGTTTCTTGTTATTCCTGCTTCACACATTACCTTGATACTATGAAAACTATGAAAAATCTAATCGTTGTTACTTAATTAGTCTAAGATAGGCTATTTAAATGTGTCTTTTAGTGTTTTGTCTTGAAGTGTTTCAGTCTTTATATACGATTTCAATAAAGTTCTATTATTGAAGTCATAAAATCTAAGTTCACTTTATTATGATGACATTTAGGTAAAACTAAGGATCTCAACACAGCTCCATGACCAATCAAATCTTCTGAAAATCAACTTCGAAGTAAAGCAAAAATATCTGTAATTCTGCGTAAGTGAATATATGTATTATATTTGTGTTTAAGACTGTGCTTTATCTAGCATTGCAGCAATTTATTTTTACACTGGTAAACAACTCTGGGATCTTAAAGTCAGCATGAAATAGAAGTTCTTTCATATCGTGACATATTTCCAAAAGCAATGGCTTATTGAACAACAACAACAAAAAAATGTATTGCAGGGTTTTATTCATCAGTTATTGTTTGAATTATGAAAAGTGAGTGTTGTGTGAGTCATAGCACAAGAAGAGCAAGTTATGACATTTTGATTAAAAATTACCCCCCAAAAGGTAAATGCATTAAAGAGTCGTTCACATTAAGAGCAGAAGTGTGCATTAAAAAACAAAAAAATACTTTTGATTTTGAACTGGCCTTTGAAGCTGTTTGAAAAGAGATTTATATTTAAGGACACAAAAACTAGTTAAAGGGGACCTTATGCCCATTTTCAAAGTCTTGATTTTGCTTTTGGCTTTAACTAGAACAGGTTTTCATGCTGGATTTGTCCAAAAACACATTTTTTCACATGTGTTATGTAACTTATGTTGTTGGTGCAGCACCTCTCTTCCCAGTCTGTCAGTAATGCTCTGTTTAGTTCCTGTCTCTATGAAGCCCCTCCTTCCAAAAAGTGTAATGTGCTCTGACTGGTTGGCTGGATCAATGTTTTGTGATTGGTCAATCGCTTCAAGCGTGCTTTGCAAATGTCACGGCCCTTACCATAACACAGAGTTTCAACATACTAATAACGTAACCAGGTCTCGCCTCCTTTAAAAAAAAAAAAAAAATGTATGCCTTCGGTGGGAATTGTTTAAATGAGGAATATTATGATGTTGTACGTTCCCAGAATCGAGGTGTTTCAGGGAGTTCAGAAACAGTGCTTGCTGATATGGAGAATAACTCTGTTTGGAGAATAACTAATTTGTGCTTTGTAACTTTGCAGACATTTTCCATGCTCAAATAGCAACATTACACACTAAAGAAAGTTGAAAATGTAAAAAAGCATAATAGGATCCCTTTAAACCAACTTGTGTCTTAATTATTTGAGCATCCTTCAGCTGCTTCGTCCTTCTCTTTAACCAGCCCTCTCCTGGTGACACAGTAAATACTAGTACTTAGCCCCAAGGTCGCCACGGCTGACCATGCATATGCCCCGTAAAGGCTTTTTCTCATTTGTTTTGGGCCTGTGCCCAGCTCCAGGCTGTGCAATATTTCAGTCAAGCCAAGCATTTTACAGGCCGGGCAGATGAAGAACAGCTAAACCTTGCTCTGTGATCAATAATGACTGATCCGCCCACAAGGGGCTCTCTCTCCGCTGGGGAAGAGCTGGGTCCGGCCTATCCGAGAAGATTTTTTTTGGTGGAAACTCAAAGCTCTTGGAGTCAACCTTGAAGTTGTTCCTTAGATGGACATTCTGTAAACAGACAGAGTCGAGACTGACACATGCCTGAATTAGCGCTAGTGGTCTATATATATTGATAGGCAGATGCTGTACTGTTGTATTCCTCCCACACTGTTTCTATATTACAACAGACATCATATATTTCTCAGATCTTCCCACTGCCTTATTGTAAGGCTCGTTAACTGTACGGATGCTTAATTAACCTGCACTTCAAAGTCATGGCATGGGCCAGTATCAAGGTTTAGCAGAGATTTATATCACACAATGGCTCCATGGGTCCTGAAAAATTAATGAACGCTTAGCCGGGATCCGACTTATAGGCGACACGGCGCAATATAAATCAATTTGAGTTTGAGCCTTGCAATTCAGAAGCGACCGTATCTGCTGGACTAGGCGTTTTTAGAGTGTTTTTAGAGGTGCATCAGCGGTAATGCGGACGAAATAGGTCAGGGGCGAGATGTGAATGCACGGTCTCGTGACCTTTCTTCAATGACGGCATGCTTTCTTTCTCATACGCGCACACGAACTAACGACTTGTGAGTTTATGTGAAGTAATTATGGGTGCAGAGATCAGGCATAATCACATTGAGACGGAAGCGAGCGCAGGTCAGGACCATATGTTTGACTCCTTTCTCAGTGCGAGAACAGACTTCAGTGGAATGTGAACATAATAAGGACTAACTAATGCCTTTCGCATTGCTGCTCTCTTCTCTGCCCTTCATCTCTACCGAAGCCCATTACTGAGCTCAGAGAATTGCAGCAAGCTTGCCTCTTTTTTTCTTGTACACTTGTCATTGCCATTTATACACAGGAAGTCATATTATCTCATGTGGGGTAAAACTGACCATTGAAATGGCCACTTGAAGGGGCAAATAAATCTACCTTCAATGCTCAGTGAAGCAAATGCCCTGTGTTGACTCAATGATTTCAGCATATTTATCTCAGCGTAATGCCTAATAGATGGCCTGTAGGCCAAAAGTCATAAGAAAGAGGTGCTTCATCTAACATTTAAGCATATAAGCATCATTTCGGTGCTCGTGTTAACAGCCGGAACATATAGCTGCAAGTGCAAAAATAATTTTTGCACTGAGCCTATTTTTGCTGCATTACGAACAAAGAATAACCTGTGTGAAAATGCCCGTGTGACCTTTTTTCAGTATAATCTTTTGCAATATAGACTTATGAAGCATTATAAGAGCTAATATCTCACAGACTGCTGAAAAATGTTGTCTATCAGCCTTGATGCAAGCTCACATTTACTTTCTTTTTAGTAAATCTGACTGAATCTGGATGATTTAAGTAATTTAGGGGTGTTTACATGACACCGTTTTCAACTAAAAATGTCACTTTTTATGCGTTTTGGCCGTTCATTTACATGACAATGGCGATTTGGGGCCTGAAAGCGCAAACATTTGAAAACGGGTTTCAAAGTGAATTTGTGAAAACGTTGACGTCATGCGCATACATACATGTTCAGTCTTTAGGCGCGTAGTGTTTCTTTACAAAGTGACATCGCCAACTACTGGCCTGGCATGAATAATACAACATTTTTTAGTTGTTTTAGTGGATCCGTGTGAATGGGGATTGTTTCGACAACGTTATCGTCTGTACACAAACTTTTCAAAATCGCTAAGGACATCGTTGTCGTGCAAACGTACCCTTATAGACACAATTTGTGGTTTGGGTTCCATTCTGTCTAGATTAATCACCAAGGTACCTTTCTCCATGTAAACTATATTTCATGATGATCAAATTCTCAATAGCAGGGTTGTGTGTCAGTGCCATTCATAACTGAATTGAGAATGCATTTAAAATTCCAACTGAATTCCTGAATTGGAATTGAGATACCAAATATGATGCAGAACTGGAATAAAAAAATAAAAAAATAAAGAAGCAGAATTAATTTTAACATTATATAACTGTAATTTTGACTAAAATGAAAGTTGTTCAAAACTTTTTTTGCTTTATAGGCCTTATATATGTGTGTATTTAATTTATATTTCATCATTTTTAATTCATTAACTTACCAGGCTGAAAGACGTCATTTCCCAGAATGCATTGCTTTGAATTGTAATAAAGTAAATTCCTCTTCCTTTCATTCCAATTCATATTTCATTTCAGCTGTGTGGGGTGTGGCCAATTTAATTAACTTCAATGTGAGCCAATTAAATCTAAATTCTATAATAGCTCACTCCTTATAACCATTTTATAATCTATGAATGATGAATTAATGATTATTAAAATACAAATTTTGGTAAGCTAGAAATCACTTTTCTGCTGCTGGTTTAAAAGCACCATGCAATTTTGCAGTTGCAGTAACTTTGCTGCTTATGCACTGTTTATGCGTGCAGTGTGAATCAGGCCTTATAGAAGAAACGATTTAAACTCACACCTCGAATCCCATAATAACAGTCACTAAGGCAACGCCCTGACCCCATCTACTCCAAGCATTGGAAAGCATGACCTTTACACATGCGTTTCAGTTGGAGATTTTGAGTGTTGGAGCTAGGGGACTGTTAGACTTGGCTGGGGTCAGCAGATATCCTATGCTGATCTTAGTGATTGGATCGTAGGTGATTACCATAAGCAATTTAAATGATATTGATTTATCCTCTCGCCTGCTGTAATTGAACACCGCGACCAAGCCCCCGCACCCTTTTCACTCTCTCCTTTTCCTCTTTTCATTCTCGCATTAACGAAAATGCATTCAGCGGCCCGAGGAGCGCCCATAAAGAGGAAAGGATCCGGCCTTGAAGGGCCAATCAATTGGCAGTTTGCCACGGCAACAATGGAATTGTTCAATTAATATCCTATCTCTGGTTAATTTAGCTGCTTAGAATCCCCCCCCCCCCCCCCACATCATACACAGGGAATGTCGAGGTAGCAGTGGGACTTGGTCCAATTTGGATGCAA